GGTCCTAAGTGAGGAGAGATAGTAGAATGCATGTGACATTGACGAAGAAGAGGACCACGGGAGTGGGTGGGGCATAAGGGATGGAGAACAACAACAGAGAGGCAGCCAAAACAAAGTGTATATAAAAGTACTATAATACAACCTTTATGATGTATGATAATTATACTAATTTTGAGTCTTAACGTTAAAAATGTGGCAAATATCATTTTAAAAACACAAGACATGGGACTGGAGATAATGGCTCAGCAGTTAAGAGCACTGACTACTCTTCCATAGGTCCTGAGTTCAATTCCCATGGTGGCTCGTAACCATCTATAGTGTGATCTGATGCTGTCTTCTGGCATGCAGGTATTCATGCAGATAGAACACTCATATACATTCTCACACACACACACACACACATACACACACACACACACATACACACACGACATCAAGAGTCTTGGCACCATGGGTACTTTCCAGTCCTACTTCAAGGAGTGGGTTTGCTACAGTAGAGTCTTAGCTCCCGGGAAAGGTGTTGGCCAGAGTGACAAAGATGAACGGGACAAGTGGTGATACATGTATATATACATACAAGCACATATATATGCATATATATATTTAAAATGAGGACGTGAATTTGAAAAAAAGCAGCGCACTGGAGCATATGGGTGTGTTTGAATGGAGGAAAGGAAATAGGAAATGACATAATTACATTATAATCTGAAAATAAGAGAAAAATGGAGGTGGGGGAGACCTGAGAGCTGAAGAGGTCAAAAAATCAAAGCAGAAACAGGGCCTGCCAAAGCAGGTGGAGAGTCCCCTCCAGCTGATGGAGAATCATGGAAAACCATTTAGGCAGTCCTCAGATAAAAGGTGTCAAGGTTTAACAGCCAGCTCAAAAGAAGAAGGAAACAAATGAAGAACAAGGGGACTCAGCAGCATTCTGAACTCACAGAACCAAATAAGGACACAGCCTCCTTCCTTTTGACGATAAAGGAGAAATGTACACACTTTGGACTTGGTTTCTTTGACAAAAATGAGGTCTTTTTTTTTTAATAATAATTTCCTGCGTCTTCCCCAGTATGCTACATATTCCTTACAGGAAGCTGATAAAAATGCAGAAACAATTTCACTAAATAAGACCTATCTCTCTGCACCGAAGGCTTTCTTGCTAACAGTTTGTCGTCTGCCACATAGGGACATGCATATAGGTAGATTATACTTTTAAACAAAAGTGGGGTTGTAAAGGAAATAAATAAAAATCCGTTCTTCTTCCAGGCTGGTTCCATTCTGTGCATCCGTCAAAGCTGTCTCCACATGCAGCCCACCCCGTGCCTGCTGTTTTCCCGGTGAGGAGTGCTCCAGGGGCCTGTTGTTTTCTGGGTGGGGAGCACTCCTGGTGGCCTAGAGTAAACAACCAGACAGAGCAGGAGCTTGATTTTTTATCCCTTCTCTGGTTTTCCCTTTCACACTGTTTCAGCTAACACTCCCCAAACCCTTCTCTAATCCTTGTCACAACTATGAAATTTAAGATATAAACCTTCTCCTTCCCTGTCTGCAGTCTTTTGTTCTCTGGGCTCACTCACCACCTGGCTACCTGGGGTGTGGAGGGTAGTGGACCCTGGCTGAGCAGCTCATGATTGGCTAATGAACCAAAGAACACAAAGGTGATACAGGTCAAATATCTCTCTTATCAGCTATCTTTTGCTTGTTCTTGTTTGATTCTGGGGAGTTTTGATTAGGGTTTATAGCAATGGGGTATGAGTTTAAGAATCATAGGTGTTTAGGGACAATTTTCTGATGCTTCATTAAAAAAAAAAAAAACCAAACCTCAGACAGCAGACAGACAGGAATAGTTCTACACAGGCATAGAACTTAGGACACAGAGGCCAGTTCCAGACAAAACTCCCATTAATGTAGACCCCAAAGTAAGTCTCCTCTGCCTTAGGTTACTTAAGGTTTTCATTGGGAAATGTTTTGATATTTGATAGAGCTGGCAGTTGCATAACACTGTGAATGCATAAAACGGCACTGAACTTTTCTCTACAAATGTTTAGTTATATGTTATTTCATCTCAATTTAAAACAAAAAGAGAGAGGCTGAGGAATCGGCCCAGTAGGTAAAGTACATGTTGTACAAGCATGGGGAATCCCTGCACCTACATCAAAAGCCAGGCCTGGTGGCACACACTAGAATCTGTGTTACTCTATTCATCTCTCAGTGCTGGGGGTAGCGAGCCATGGGTTTGGGAGGATCCCAGAGCCTCATTAGCCACACTGCCTAGCCAAATCGGTGAGCTCTGGTTCACCTAGAACCCATGTCCTAAAAAAACATGGAGAACAACTGAAAAATACATTGACCACTGTCCTCTGTATGTGTACACATACACACACACAAACACACACACAAAGAAGAAGGAGAAGGAGAAGGGGAAGGGGAAGGGGAAGGGGGAGGGGGAAGAGGTGGAAGAGGTGGAGGAGGTAGAGGAGGAGGAGGAGGAGGAGGAGGAGGAGGAGGAGGAGGAGGAGAAGAAGAAGGAGGAGAGGAAGAAGAAGAAGACTATACAAAGGAAAGGTCCACTTTGTACCAGATTATAGGTTTCAGGTACATTTGGGGAAAGCCATTGTTGTCCTGAGAGTTTGGGAATCACAGGAAGAGAAGACAGGAAGTTAACAGATGAGGTTAGAAGTGCATGGGGGGAGGGGAGCAGCTGTCAATGTCCCTTCTCTTTCATTATCTCCTGAATCTGAGACCTGGCTTGTGTATTTCCACCTGCACTTCCTGTCTCCATTGCCCTGGAGAACTCAATCTACAAGAATCGTTTCACACAGAGCACTTCTGGGAAAGCTTCCCCACTCCTTAGTCCTAAGTGGTAAATTATTACAAGTAATAAGAAAGAATAACAGGATGATCAAAGACTCGGTTTTTTTTTTTAATCTGGGTTTGCTCTGCTTCTAGACCTGAGAGATCCCTACCAGTGCCTTGGCCTGGTTTGCCAGGATTTCCAAAGCTAACCCCCTCATTTCCTGCCTCGAATCTGATCCAGATCAGCTCCTTCAAATAAGTAAAGGACACCCCCATATACCACTCACACAGCCAGCATGTAACCAAGTAACAATTAGTTGCTCCTTCTATGGCTTCCTCCAGCCAGCCTCCATCCCTACCACCCTGGACCTTCCATTATCATGTAAATGCCTGCAGCAGACATGCCCCCACTGCTCAGATGCCACTGTCTTTTTAGAATTCATTTATTTTTTATTTCGTGTGTGTTAGCGTTCTGCCTGCATGTATGTGTGAGGGTGTCAGAACTCCTGGAACTGGAGTTGCAGACTGTTGTGAGCTGCCCTGTGGGTACTGGGAATTGAACCTGGGTCCTCCGAAAGAGCGGCAGGGTGTTATTTGTTTATTGAAGAACAGAAATGAAACCGATCCACACAAACAAGGGTGTACAAGTACCAAATGTTCACCTTTACATGATATGGCTTCATGAGCCTGCAAACATAGCCATAATAGACACAAAAGTATCCCCTTAGTGATAAGCAGTCACTTACTTGAGCACACATTCATTCACACAAATGTAAATATGGAGTTAAGCACCACACTGAACACGACATACACATGGTAGACACGCCACAGTGGAGCATATCCTAAAGCGTGTGTGTACGTGTGTACTTAAGTTTACATGCAGAATCTGATGAGCATAGACACACTCGCACACACATATACACACAGGGAGGAGTTAAGGAATGGAGGGAGAGGAGGAGGGGAGAAGGGACAGAGAGAGAGAGAGAGAGAGAGAGAGAGAGAGAGAGAGATGTGATGATGTAGGCAAACTATATATTCACTGACTTATGCCTCCAGACAAGTCTAACTAAGACTTGTACAAACACAAATCAATCAATCAGCTTGGGCGTTTTGTACTGGTTTGAATGAGAAACGTCCTCCATAGTCTCAGGCAGTTGAACATTTAGCCTCCCCTTGGTGGCACCGTTTGTGGAGGTTTATGTGGAGGTAGTGTGTCACTGAGACTTGGATTTGAGATTAAAAGACCACACACCACTCCCAGTTTGTTCTCTCTGCTTTGTGTTTGGGATTCAAGAGGTGAGCTCTTAGCTTCCTGCTGCTGCCCCCCACCACGCCCGCCGCTAGTACCATTCTTCCCTATTGCGACGAGGAACTATCCTTCCGCAGGAACAGTAAGCCCAGGTAAACTCTTCCATCTGTTGTTTTCATTATGGCGTTTTAGCACGGTTAAAGAAAGATAAATAATACAGAAAAGTTGCATCATGAACTCCAACAGAGACCCACATGCGTACCCAGAATGACACACAGAAGATTCTGCAGACAAAGCTATGTGAGGCAGAGGCACCTGCCATAACCTACTAATCAAAATGATAACAACAGGAAGATAGTCAGTCACAAGCATGGAGGATTCAGGGACAACAGTGGCTCGCTGGGAAGGAGAAAGCAAACATGACTGGATAGTCTACAGTGAGGGAGGTAGACAGCAGACAAGGTCCTGTGCAGGCTTTAGCTCCATCCAGAGCCATCTGAACATCTAACGCTGATCCATGCTTGCTCAGGAATTGCCCAATAGAGCACCAAGCCTCCAGGATAAACTTCCTATTAACAGCTCCGGGGTGTGTGGTCGGGGGAGGAGCACTGATGCTTGGCTTTGGTAAATCGTTGGGGAGGGAGGCTTCTCAGACACCATCTTCTCTAGGATGGTCCTGGAGGCATTCAAAATGAGACCTGCCTTGCTTCCCCACCATAACTAAATGTCAGGACCTTATTACCAAAGACATCACCAGTTTTGGCAGCAGGACATAGCAAGATCAATCTTGAACTGAACAGGAAATTGTCTCCTTACTGATCCTGGGAGTATGAGTGGTCTTACCCAGTGCTCATCTATGACATTCTATGTTACAATAAAAACCAGAGGTTCCCAAAGGCAGATTGAAGTTTGGAGGAGCATCAGTCCACATTCTTTCTTCTTATCGAGCAATAAGATGTGGTAGTAACAAGTGAATAAAACAGCCATTTATTGACTTTACACATTAACTCAACCATTACTACCAAGAGGAAGATGCACTCAGTCCTTGGGCCCATAAAGTTCAGTTTGTCAATGAAGCTGGCTCTTCAAGGACACACAGCAGAGAAGATCTCAGGGAGACTGATTCGATTGCCCAGGGGTTGGTGTCTGTCCAGGTAAGGGTTCCATTATATGCTGCAACCCTGCTCTTAATCACAAAACCAGAAAGGGAGACTGGAGTCATCAAAGGGAGATTTTCCAAGGCCACCACTCACTCACTCTGGAAGGCCTGCCTGAGATGTTTGCTGCTGCTCTCACATGTGCCTACCAGGTGACTGCAGGGACTGATCCTTCATTTGTGTGCCTGTGTCTCTCCCACGTGACCTCAGTTTCTGCTCTGACATTCATGTGCCTGAAAAAAAAAAAAACAAGAAGGACAAATAAACTTGATCTCGCTGTAGCTCTCCAAGCTCGGTTCCCATTCCTGGCCCCTGTGCAGACCATGAGAACCTGCCTGACCACTCAGGGTCCTTCTGGGTGCCCCCTTCACCAAGAAAGAGAGTCTCTAGATTACTCCCTTCCTCCTATTCAGGTGGGAACAAGGGGAGAGGAGAGGTTTGTGCCCAGGGATAATGCAGGTGCAGGCTGGCACTAAAGAGAGATTGATACCTGCCAAGCCTAGACTAATCCCATTCCCCCCACCTCTTCCTCCTCCAAAATCAACAAACAACCTTTCTCTCTGCTTTCTTCTCTGCCATGTGTTTCCTCCCTAACCCATCTCAGAGTCCAACAGCCTAAAACAAGATGAGCAAAATGCCAGCCATGAGCTGCGACCTCACCCATCTACACCTGTCTAAAGCATGGGGCCCCACCATGGGATGGGTCCATCCATCAAAGCTTGCCAATGTCCACCTGAGGCCCCTCCCAGAGTCTCAAGGAGGCCAGTCTCAGCAAGCACCTCGTGGTATTGTCAGAACCTGCTAGAACCAAATCCAGACCCCATGTGCTGCCACACTTACGCCTTCATTCAGGCTATTCCAGTGACCACCTGCCTCCCCTCGAAAGGTTCCTCTTTCGAGAAGGAGCAGCATGGAAAAGAAAGAAGTTAGCATGGAGCTTGACACCAAAAGGATGTTAGTAGACTCGCTTCTTTTTCACCTTAGCACTTGCCTGGGGGCTATCTCAATGCTAGCCCCATCCTCCTCCGTTCATGGAGTCCATCCTGCTGCTGAGCTTAGTCCCAGGTGTCTCCCAGGATGATCTGAGCTAGGTAATGGTGAGGAGAGAGAATCAATCCCAACTCCTTCATGACCTCGGTCATCTCAATGAGGCTGGTGATGTGCCAACTCCATAATGACTAAGATTCCACAGATGAGCTACACATAGTCTTCCTGAGCTACAGGTTCATCCAAACTGTCTGGATTATTAACGAAGAATTTCAATGTGGGAGAACAGTAGGGTTACTCACTCTTCCCTTCTCCACGGCCACCCTTAGCATCCCAGGGTCTTCTGTTTCCCGGGCTGGATGCTCATCTAAATCTCCACCTCAGCCTACTGATAGCATCCAGGCATCAACACACTTAACACACACACCCAAATATGACCTTTACTCCCCCAGTCCTCTCTTCCCACTGGTGGGAAAGAAGTCTACACAGGGAAAGCTAAAAGGTGGGCAAGGGTAGACATTAATGCCTCTGGCTTTTGGGTTTTCCATGTATGTGCCCCCGACGCCACCCCTGTGTTTTGTTCTCAGTGCATTCACAAAAGAGCATTTGTAAACAACAGCAGCAATGAGCCAGTGACCCTGGTAGCCTTTCCTACGGATCCAGATAGGAATCCAGTGGGGCTTTTGTAAATTAGAACTTTTCTACTATATTGGAGTTGTTATTGTCATTTCTCAAGGCTTAGACAGACCCTCAGATGTTGTCTCTGGTACTGTGCCAAGTTCCAGTGAAATATGGCTCTGGCCTTCCCTGCCTTTCTCAGATCCTGTGTTCCAGCGATCCATCCTAGACTCAGAGACTTCCCCGGGGTTCTGAGTGTTAAGAGATAGCACAGGACCAAAACCAAAACACCCACACCTCGGCACAGGGGCTAACTCCAAGATCCTTGTGCAGTTTAGCTGTGTCGCTCCCAGGCACTCTCCATCCACAGCCATTCTTGTCTCAAGATCCACAACCCATAGCCCTGGAGTCTCTACTCCTCAATTCCTTAACTTCAGGACCCTCTTCATAGAAAGACTCCCAGGGGTCAGGTGTGGTAGTGTAGGCCTATAATTCAGCACTCAGGACAGACATAGGTGGATCCCTGTGGTCTACGTATGGAGCTCCGGGCTAGCCAGGACTGCATGGTGAAAGCCTGTCTCAAACAAGAAAGAAAAGTGGTCTTTCAACTTCGTAGCTCTTCGTCCTATCTCAAACAAACAACTTATAGGGTTTTTCTCTCCTAAGACCCTACTGTCCCTAACATCTGTGCCCCTTCTCAGAGGAAGGATATCTAATAAACACGTTATGAAGGATCCAGTTCTGCCTTGTTTTTACTGTCCTCTGTAACACATATCTCTGGAGCACTTCCTCCTTAGATACCACATATTCGGTCTACTCCCTGTTAATCTTTCATGGGGCCCTCCTCCTCCTTGAGTGTTGGCTGTGTCCCAAACTTGGTACACAACAGGGGGTAGTCTGGAGGTGAAATGAGACAGTTGCATAATCAATAGCAAAGGCAAGTCTTCTGTCTCTGGGTATATAAAAGCAAGCTAATTTAGCCATCGCTGTCTGTCTGTCAACCCCACCGCCACTATGCTGGCCTCGGGACTCCTCCTCGTGGCTATAGTAGCCTTCCTCAGTGTCCTGGTCTTGATGTCTGTCTGGAAGCAGAGGAAGCTCTCAGGAAAGATGCCTCCCGGACCCACACCACTGCCCTTCATCGGCAACTACCTTCAGCTGAACACGGAACAGATGTACAGCTCTCTCATGAAGGTGCCACCGGGCATGGAGATGGGTTGAAGGAGGGCACGGAGGGATGCCCAATTTGGGTTGAGGCTTTGTGGTAGGGCATTGACCAGGTGGGAGTGTAATTTTAGGCCAGGGGAATTGTGAATAAATCAGTAACCATTTTCTAGGCCTGTGCGATCTCATCTTGGGGACACCCGGTCTGACAGCCGATAGAACTCTAGAGAAATGAATCCCAGACCGGATATCAAAGTATGAACTGTCCTTCTAACATCTCTCATCTTCCACCTCCATCAGCTCAGCCAACGTTACGGTCCTGTATTCACCATCCACCTGGGACCTCGCCGAATTGTGGTGCTGTGTGGACAGGAGGCAGTCAAGGAGGCTCTGGTGGACCAAGCTGAGGAATTCAGTGGGCGGGGCGAGCAGGCTACCTTCGATTGGCTTTTCAAAGGCTATGGTGAGAGGGACGGGGAGGGGGGGGAGGTAGCAGAGGACATTTGCGGGCATGGGTTTCCCCATCCTTCTCTCTGACTCTTCCACTCCTCCAGGCTATCTTCTCCCTACATCCTTGCCACCCACTGTGTCTGGTCTCAGACTCATCTCTCTGCCAGTGTTTCCTGATTCCCCGACCTCCACCCATGCCTCCTCTTTCTCCCTGAGATTCCTCTGTCAGAATCCTGCGCCTCTAACAAGATCTGAAGCTTCTCCGCACCCACGCCATCATTTTCAGCCTCTGTCTCCCTCTTCTTACTGTCCCGTAACTCGCTCTCTTATCTGTAGCTTCGCGGTGCGGTCTTGTGTTTTGCATTTGTATTTGTATTTCTAACGATCTGTGTGCATCTGTCTCCTTCTTGCCCTCCTATTAGGGGGACAGCGAAGGGTGGGTCAGTGGCCAGCCACGCCCCTCTTCTCTGACTTCTCCCGGCTTCTTACTCACTTTCCCAGGCGTAGCCTTCAGCAGCGGGGAGCGAGCCAAACAGCTAAGGCGCTTCTCCATCGCCACGCTGCGAGACTTCGGTGTGGGCAAGCGTGGCATCGAGGAGCGCATCCAAGAGGAGGCGGGCTTTCTCATCGAGTCATTTCGGAAGACGAACGGTAAGCGGAGCACCGCAAGTTCTCAGAACCTACCAAGGGATAGACACCCTAGGCAAAGCAGCACCATGTCCCAGGATAGAAACTAGGCTAGGCAAGAGCGTGCCGGTCCCCGCTGTGGGATCTAGTGTCCGGGTTTTTGGCTCAGTGCTGCAGCCAGTGCCCTTTTTGAATTCTCTGATTCAAAGTATCTGATGCTAACACCCAGGCAGTGCTTTTTGCCTAGTTCCAATGTCTCCCTCTCCTTTCTCCCCTCCTCCCCCCGCCCCACAGGTGCTCTGATTGACCCCACCTTCTATCTGAGCCGATCAGTCTCCAATGTCATTAGCTCAATCGTCTTCGGGGACCGCTTCGACTATGAGGACAAAGAGTTCTTATCACTTCTTCGAATGATGCTGGGAAGCTTCCAGTTCACAGCTACCTCCACGGGGCAGGTAACCTGTTTTAACTTTGTCCTACCATGCCCCCTGCTTCGGCTGCCAGCTCACTCCCAAACAACTTCCAGCAGGTACCCTCAAACTACCCCTGGCCCTCCAACTCCAACTCCACCTCTCCTCTCTTCCCCCTTCTGTCCCTCCCCTTTCCCTTCCCCTCCCCACCTCTCTCTCTTGCTCTCTTGCTCTCTCTCTCTCTCTCTCTCTCTCTCTCTCTCTCT